TTCTTTTTTTTTTTGCATGCATCCACACTACAGTCTAACTAATCTTCCACCTGTTGAAATTATCTTCTTTTTGTTTCTTAATGTTAATGTGTTTTGTGTGTTTATCCTATAATAATTATTATTGCTACTCCATTGTGTGTGTGTGTGTGTGTGTGTGCCTTTGGGCTTGCACTGTGATGATAATGATGAACTGTTTTGTGTAGTGAAAGGAAAAGTAAATAATAATAACAGATGAATTTATATTTATAATTGCTGATGTACACACATAAAGACTTACACCCATAGTTGGTGTATATTTCTGTGTTTACTGTGTAAATTGGGCTAATAGTTAATATCTGTTTCTTTGTTTCTTTGCTTGTGGTGTGCAGGGTCGTTATGGGCTTTGACCTGCACGGTTTGGTAGTCTGCTTGATGCAGAGAAAAGAAAAAAAAATAGTAGTTAATACAATTTGTATTCTTATGTGTTTGAACACACCAGCATATTCAGTGGTCTGTGAGTTATTTTTGTGCGGTTGGTCCTCTTTTTAATTTGTGTTGTTTTTGTTCACGTTTTCATTGCTTGGGCGCTGTGTGCTTTTTCCTGCATTGTTGTGTGTTGGAGTGTTTTGTGGGGATAGAAAATAATAAAGAATACATAAGTATATATTTGTAATTGTGCTTGGTCCTACAGGAAGAGACATTTTTGATGTATTTCTGTGCTGTCTACTTTTGATGGTTGTACTCTTTAATTTCTTTTTTTTTTCTTTTGAGGGTTTAGTTGGGATTATCTGTTTGCTATTGGGTACTGTGTGGGTTTTTACTTTATTTGGGTATTATCTGAGTCATGGTTGCTGTTTTCTGTAATGTGTGTGCCTCTGTTGTAATTATTGAGTGTTGTTTGATTTGGTAATGTGTTCTTAACTTGTGTTGTTTAATCATTGATTTACTTTGTTTCTGGTTTTTTTAGTGGGTTTTCTTCTGTGTAAGCGATTGAAGTAAGACTACTACAAGAAGTATTGTAATGGTAATGATGCGCTACGTGCTGTGTATCCTCGCTCTCCTGCTCTCATGTGCGTGTGTGCATGTCCTCGCTGAAGAAGTGCCTGCCGCCGATCTTTCCGACCAAGTCCCTGATACGGAGAGTGAGACAAAGATTCTTCTTCAAGGTACTCCTGTTGCTCAGTGCAATGAAGCTACTACTGATTGTACTGGTGAAGGCGACAATCATTGTTCTGGTGATCCTTCTGTAGAGAATGGTTTATGTAAGAAAGAACCAGAAAACACACACGTAGCTGGAGCTGGAGCTTGTCCTCAAGGTACCACTAACCCTCCGTGTAATACTACCCGTGATGAAACTCAAGGTTCTCCTAATTGTGAGAACTCTTCTGATGAGAACGGTTGTCCTCGCAAGGATCTGAAGACTGAAAAGAATTGCAGTGAAGGTGGTGCTGATGAGAGCTGTCGAATTGCACTACAGTCACAGGTTCTCAGTGCGACAGGGGATGATCACATCAATGGACAAGGTCTTCAAGGTTCTCTTGGTGAAAAAAGGTCTGATAATGCGGGTTCCTCCGGTAATAATGGTGCAGCTGGTACTGGTCATCCCTCCACTGGTGGTGATCCTCCTGAACTTCCTGTTACTGTCGCTAAACCTGCTACACCTGCTGCTGGTGAGAGTGTTGGTGCGTCTGCAAGTGCAGGTCAACCTGCAAACAACAACAAGAGTGAAACAGGTGAAATGCCATCTGGAGCGGAAGGTGAAGCAACACAATCTTCTTCACACAATTCGGACAAAGAGAATACGGATGGTTCTGAAAATACAAACACTGGGAGTGGTAGTTTATCTGAAGGGGGTGAAGGTGGTTCTGATGCTACAGCGACTGAGAAGGAACGTACACCTGCAGAAAGTGAATCAACCACCACCACTACTACAACAACAACAACCACAACACTTCCTCCTGAGGCTGCAAACAACAAGAAGGGTGATGCAGACAGCAGCAGCAGTATCAGCAGTTCTGTGTGGGTGCGTGTACCACTACTGATTGTGGTTACACTGGCCTATATTCTTGTGTGCTGATTCTAATGGTGGTGGTGGTGTGGTGTGACTCAGGTCATCCTTTGTTTCCTTTTCTTTTTTTTTTGCATGCATCCCTACAGTCTGACTAATCTTTTACCTGTTGGGATTATCTTCTTTTTTTGTTTCTTAATGTTAATGTGTGTTTTGTGTGTGTTTTTGCTCTCTGTGTTTATCCTATAATTATTATTGCTACTCCATTGTGTGTGTGTGTGTGTGTGTTCTTGGAGACTCACTCTGTGTGTGCACCTGGGCTTGCACTGTGATGATGATGAACTGCTTTTTGCAGTGGGAGGAAAATGAAATAATAATAACAGATGAATTTATATTTATAATTTGCGTATATAAACATATAGACGTACACCCATATTTGGTGTATTTCTGTGTTTACTGGGTAAATTGGGCTAATGGTTAACATCTTTTTCTTTGTTTGTTTGCTTCTGTGTTTTGCCTTGGACTGATTTGCTTTCTGCAGAAACAAAGAGTAACTGATACATATTTATTCTTAGTTGCTTATGTGCAAATGCACAGTACGGGCTCTTTGCTATGTTTGTGCAGCTGCTGGCTTTGTTGGCTGTGCTCGTAATTTGTTTATAATTTTTTTTGCGTGGGATTTTGTGTGTGAGGTGCATGTTTCTTTGCTTTTTTATACTTTGTGTTGGTGTTCTTCTTGTAAGTGATTGTTGCTTGTTTGTTGCATCCTTTCCCGTGTTTGTGTTTTGTTATATTTTATTGTTTTGATCTTTAACAGTTCATATACCTAAGAAAACAAGAGAGGATTAAAGTTTTTCGTGATGAGGGTGCTGCGACGTTTGTTGTGTTTTTTTGCTCTCCTGCTGAGTGTTGCCTCTCTCTGCACGTCCGCTAGCGGGGCTGCTGCAGCTGCTGAAGCTCTTCCTCCTGAATCTCGTTGCACTTCTGCTCCTTCTGGTGATTCTTGCCCTAATGGCACCCAACCTTGTACTGTTCCTGATGCTGCTGCTGCTGGTTCATGTTCTGGTGATACTTGTACTTCTACTGCTCAAGATGCATCTGGTGGTAGTAATGGTGGTAGGGATCGATCTACAGAAAGAGAACGTGATTTAACAGGAAGAGCAGGTCAAGCTTCTCCTGTTGAAGATCCTGCTGCTGGTGACGCAGGTCGTGCTGGTGTTCCAACTCAACAGGAAACTCCGGGCACTCGAGGAGAACAAGACCCTGCTGCACCTACTGATCCTGCTAGGAGACCTGATGCACCTGCAAGTGCACCTGACACTGGAAGCAGCATAAACAGTCAAGGCAGTGAAAGTGAAACATCACAACCTCCACCTTCTCCTAACGGTACAGCCACAGCGAGTGAAGCTGGTTCTAATCCTGTATCGAATGAAGATGTTACAACATCTTCAGGAGGAGAATCAACAAGTAACCTCGAAAGTGTGGGAAATGCAGATGCAACCACCACCACCACCACCACAACAACAACAACAACAACAACACTTCCTCCTGAACTCACAAACAACAAGAAGGGTGATGCAGACAGCACCAGCAGTATCAGCAGTTCTGTGTGGGTGCGTGTACCACTACTGATTGTGGTTACACTGGCCTGTATTCTTGTGTGCTGATTGTAATGGTGGTGGTGGTGTGACTCAGGTCATCCTTTCTTTTCTTTTTCTTTTTTTGCATGCATCCACACTACAGTGTAACTGATCTTCTACCCTTTGGGATTTCTTTTTCTTTTTGTTTCTTAATGTTAATGTTTTTTGTGTGTTTTTGCTCTCTCTATGTTTATCCTATAATAATAATTATTGCTACTCCATTGTGTGTGTGTGTGTGTGTTCTTGGAGACTCTCTCTGTGTGTGCCTGGGCTTGCACTGTAATGCTAATAAATTGCATTTTTGCAAGGGGAAAAGAAATAATAATAACAGATGAATTTATATTTATAATTGCGTCTGCCTTGAAATTCTGATGGTCGTTCTCTTTAATTTCTTTTTTTCATCTGAGAGGCTCATTGGGATTTCGTGCTTATTGATGGGTATTGTTTGCCTTGTTTCTTTAATCAAACTCGATATGAGTGATGGTTAAATGTTTGTGTCATGTGATGTGTTTATGTCGTTGTTTTTTTATTGATTTACTTTGTTTCTGTTTTTATTATTGGGTTTTCTCTTTCTCTAAGCGATTGAAGTAAGACTACTACAAAAAGTATTGTAATGATAATGATGAAGCGCTACGTGCTGTGTATCCTCGCTCTCCTACTCTCATGTGCGTGTGTGCACGTCCTCGCTGAAGACTTACAGACAGTTAATCAAAATACTCAGTGCCCTCCTGATGGTGCTTCTGGGTCTAACTGCACTGCTGGCGGTACTCATGTCGCCCAACCTTCTCATTGCACCGATGGTACTACTGGCGATCCTGATACATGTACTCCAAAGAAAGAAGCTCCTCCTTCTAAGTTACCTGAGGTACCAAAAGAAGTTGTTCCTGAGAAAAAAGTACCGGTTACTCCTCCTAAAAAGCCCGAAGCTCCTCCTATTACAGTACCTGAGCCACCAAAAGAGGTGATGAATCATGAACAAGAGGCTACACGTCCGGAAGAAGGTTCTGTACTAGTGCAAACACTACCCACCTCCACATCGCCTACTTCAACTAGAGTGACAACAGAAAACGGTGCCCCAGAATCAGGTGCAAAATCAAGTGATCCTGCTCAAGGCGCTGCTACGATTAATGATTCTTCGAGCATAGAAAATCAAGTAACAGAAAGACAAGGAGAAGAGTCTACTGCAGATAAACAAAGTAACGAAGAGGTGTCGAGTAACACAACTGTTAACAGTACAACTGCCGACTCTAATGCTACCCAGCGATCTCCTGAAGCTGCAGGTGCTGCTGCCGCACCAGACTCACAAGAAACCAATCCCACTACTCCTTCAAGTCCCGAGAATACTACCACAGATGCACCAACCGCAACACCATCTCCTGTAACCGAACCACAGATCCACAACATTGCGCCCATTGTACAGAAGAAGGCTAATGCTGACAGCAGCAGTATCCGTTCTGTGTGGGTGGGTGTGCCACTACCGATAGTGACTGTGTTGTTCTCCGTTACTGTGTACTGAAGGCTGGGTCTCATTTGAGGTCAAATAATAATAATAATCATACTAACATTATCATATTTGCGTACATCCCATATGGGTGAATGAAATAATAATCTGTTTACCAGCTTTCTCTTTCAATTCGAATATCTTTTCTTTTACTTTTATGTGTGTGTGTGTGTTTTTCTATTAATTCCATTACTTGCTTTTCCCGTTGTGTGTGTGCAGAAAACTGGGCTGTTCTGCTCACTGACGGTGTACATATATTCTATGTGCACATGCGTATGTGTGTGCACCATTTTGTTATAAACTGAAATCTTTGGGATTGGGTGTTCTTTTTTATAATTCCATTTTTTTTTTTGTTTCTGTTGTGTGAGTAGAATCTTTTGTTCTGCTCACTGACGGTACAATTGTTTTACTGGTACAAGTGAATATATCCGTCATAATTATTCTTATTGTTATATATTATGATTATTTTTAATTGATTGTTTTTTTCTTTCTTTTTTATTTTTTATAGGTGGTAGGTATAGCGGGTGGAATTTTCTTTTTCTTATTCGTTCGTAATCCTTTTTTTTTTTTTTTAGAATGTTTCGCTGTACACGCCCAGAACAGCACCATAGTGGGAAAAGCTCGTGCTTTTGTGTTCCGTGATCCCACGCTTAAAATGATGCGGGCGGGTAGTGGATATCAACAACTGCGGCGTATGGGAATGCCTGTACACAAGTGGGTTTGGGATGGCGGAAAGTTGATAGTTTCCATGCGAATAATCAGTACCAGCATGCTTGGCCGCTTCTCTCTCTCATGATGACTTTTGGGAAATAGTGATCAGTTGAAATAATACAAAGAATATCAATGTACTCAATGTACATGCCGAAGCGTAATAAAGGTACAGCCCCATGGGGTTTCGTGGTGCCGATACGTACAGTGTGAAATATTGTGAACAGGGTCGATATGAATATCAACGATACCTTATGATAAATCGATTTCCAAGTGAGTACAAGAAACACTTTCTAGGATTTCTCTCTAATATTCGTGCTGGATCTGGACCAGCTAGTATTCCACAGGAAACTCTTCATTGGCTTTTACGTATGATTGTGGATAATTTTAACCCACAACATGTGCATTATATTGCGGCCATGAAGACACTTCAAGATACAGGAGAGTTAGATATGGCAAGAGATGTTTGGAAGATAATGGAACGTCAGCAGACGTGGCCGTGTACTTCTACTATCTGTAGTTACCTTGATATTTGTGTACAGGCAGGTGAAAAGACTTGGGCAATGGAGGCATGGAATCGCTATTGCACAGAGTTGAAGTTTTTGCAACCTGGAGA